ATAAGAGAGAGAAGGGAAAGGGAAAGAAAATATAAAAGGAAAGAAAGAAGAGGAATAAGAAGGAAAGAGGGAAACGGGGAAGGGCGAAGGGCTCTTGCCTCCTCCCTCCCCACCCCCCGCCAAAAAAATAAATAAGAGATAGAGAGAGAAGGGAAAGGGAAAGGGAAAGAGAAGATAAAAGGAAAGAAAGAAGAGGAAGAAGAAGAAGAAAAGAGGGAAACGGGGGCGAAGGGCTCTTGCATCCCCCCGCCCAAAAAATAAATAAGAGAGAGAGAGAGAGAGAAGGGAAAGGGAAAGAGAATAAAAAAGGAAAGGAAGAAGAATAAGAAGAAAAGAGGGGCTCTTGCCTCCTCCCCCCTCCCGCGCCAACAAATAAATAGGAGAGAGAGAGAGATAGAGAGAAGGGAAAGGGAAAGGGAAAGAAAATATAAAAGGAAAGAAAGAAGAAGAAGACGGAAAGAGGGAAACGGGGGAAGGGCGAAAGGCTCTTACCTCCCCCTCCCCCCTCCCGCCATAAAGGGAAAAAGAAGGGAGAGGGAAAGAAAATATAAAAGGAAAGAAAGAAGAGGAAAAAGAATAAGAAAAGAGGGAAACAGGGGCGAAGGGCTCTTGCCTCCTTTCTTTTCTTTCTTTTCCTTTCTTTCCTATTCTCCCTCTTTTTCGTTTTTCTCTTTCTTTCTTCTCTTTCCCTTTCCTTCTCTCTCTCTCTCTTATTTATTTTTTGGCGGGGGCGGGGGGACGAGGCAAAAGCCCTTTGCCCCCGTTTCCCTCTTTTCTTCTTCTTCCTCTTCTTTCTTTCTTTTTATCTTCTCTTTCCCTTTCCCTTTCCCTTCTCTCTCTCTCTCTCTGATTTATTTTTTGGCGGGGGGGGGGGCAAGAGTCCTTCGCCCTTCCCCCGTTTTCCTCTTTTCTTCTTCTTCCTCTTCTTTCTTTCCTTTTATCTTCTCTTTCCCTTTCCCTTTTTTCCTTCTCTCTGTCTCCCCCAGCTAGGGCTGGTTTTGTTTACGAAGCGCCCGTCAGGAGAGTACACGATAGAGTACACGATAGAGTACACGATAAAATTGACGATATCGTGAACTTTATATCGTGAACTTTTCACGATAAAATTCACGATATCGTCAATTTCATCGTGAAAAGTTCACGATAAAGTTCACGATATCGTCAATTTCGTGAATTTCTTCGTGAAAAATATGCGATAACATTGACGATATCGTGAATTTTATCGCATATTTTTCACGATTTAGTCTATTCGCGATGTCCCTTCAGGGCCACCATATGGATGCGAGATGAAAAAGTCAACAGCAATGGAGAGGATAAACACGGAAATGTATAACAAATCTGAGAAGAGAACATTTTAATATACAGAAACATGATATTAAAAAGGAATTTGCAGTAGAACAATATTATGAAGAAAGATTGTGCTCATTAAAGGTAAAGACCAGTTATGGTCACGCGATTGCATTGTGAAAGAAACGTTGTGGAATCGATCAGAAAAGGTTGATCATCTAGCATCTAGCATCTGCAAGGTTCTGGAATCATCAAAATGATAAGAAATTTGGCCCATTCTTCGTAAAGTTACAAGCACTATACACAGAAAGATGTATATGGGACTACCCTATATCTCTCACAGACCATGAGAGAAACAAATTTACCAAATATATGAATTAGTAGGCGGTTTCCCGGCAAGTTTTTTATCATCATGTATTAGTCAAAATATATTCTTTCACATGATTGGTAATGAGAGCTTCCATTTCATTTTTTGAAATTGGGGCGTTTCCAATACTGGTCTTTACCTTTAATAATACAAAAGGGAGTGTACAGTGCAAAGGAAGAGGGGGAGATGTGATGACATGGACAAAAGAGATACTAACAATAATATAGAAGAGAAAGAAAGAGAGAAAGAGAGAGAGGGGGAGAGAGAGAAAGAGAGAAAGAGAGAGAGAGGGAGAGAGAGAGAGAGAGAGAGAGAGAGAGAGAGAACAGTGAAAGGGCGGGATGGAAAGGAGCGAAGGTCATTGCAATGCGATATGTCTTTAAGAAGAAAATGATTACTTATCTCTTTAAAGAATTCCCTTTAGTGGTGCACAAGCAAGATCAACAAATAAAAAAACAGGAAGATGGGAGGAACCTAAGTCATCAAATTACACATTCAGGATTCATACAAAATGATATCTTCCAGGGAAGATGTCCTTAATCCGAAACATAAATGCACCTCCATCATTATGGCTTCAACCTTGGTCTATTTGTTATCAATAGTATTAACACCTTATTAACACCTGTCTACCAAGGCAGGAGCTCCCAAAGATTATGGAGAATAGAACTGAATGGAAAAAGCTTGTCAAATCAGTGCGAGTACGCTCGACCTAGTAGTAGTATTAAAGCTTGACAAATTAAATCAGAATTGGAATATGAGACGAAATATTGTTACTTTCGTTGTCATTGTTGCTGTTGTTTTTCTTAGTGATGAAAGAGTTTTGAAGAGGGGTTGTGGACTATAGCTGATCAGTCAATCGGACTTTGTAAAATTGTAGCACACGGTCCGGGGTTCGAATCCCTTTAGCAAGACTGCATGTAGACATTAATCTACATAGTTATGCCCACTGACCTCTACACAGAGGTCAGTGGTTATGCCACGTTCCACGCATGCGAAGTAATAAGATAATGAGATTATTCCTTGAATGCTGAGCGTCTTTTCACGGTAGCCAGGCTAAAACAGGGGAAATAACACGAATGCAGGGTCCTCAGGGAGAACAGTATTATGATGCTGCTACTCTGGGTTAATAAGGCCATATCAGTCAGTAGTCACAAAAGAAAGAAAATAAATAGAAAGAGTAATGCTCCTTAGAGACCAAAGATTTTTTTTTTAAATTGTGAGTAGCTACTAGCTAGCGCATTGCCCTTCCAGACATAATAAGTCGTGTCATCAAAGAAAATGGTATAACATCCGTTCACCAGCGCGGTATTATTTAGCCTGCCTAGATACTTAGAGTTAGAGTCAATAATAACGAAAAAATATTTAGACTGTGATTGTTCGTTGTGTGTCACATTATATTTGATCACACATTTCAATTTCACATAGGTAATTTTTTTCGCTCGGTCGCTACGCTCCCTCGGATAATAAAACTTGCTTTCGATTGATAATGATCCCTAATATTATATAAACTCTATTATATTGGTAAGGCCTACGTTATGTTTATGTAAAATAATAACTCTAAATAGGCCTATGCTTAAATTTGCTTCTGTACTTAAAATATGCTAAAACAAAGCTAAATTCTTGATATTTCCAAAGAAGACTGTTTCGAATATTTCTAAAAATGAAAATTTGCAATCCTCTTTCTGTGACATTGACATGTCAAGAAATATCACGTAGTTTTATTCCTGTATTATATTCCACAAGAGGCATTCAGTAGTAAGTTAATTTTTGTCATTCCTGGTTATTGTCATCTTTACGTCGACACTCAATTATCTATGTTACACTATAATTTTGAAATCTGTTATCCAATTTTATAAACTAGATGTTGAGAATGATCCTATTTGTTTGGATTTTAATCACTAACATTTGAATTGAATTGCATGAATTAAAGGAGAAATAGTGTAGCTTCGGGGGGGGGGCATATGAAGGTAGGAAGCGTAGCTACTTTTCAAAGCCTAAGTTGTCGAAAATCTTTTTAGATGGCCCCTAGAGTGTTCCCCCTCCCGCCCCCGCCCCCCCCCCCAAAAAAAAAAAAAATGGGGGGGGGGATGAAGAAAAAAAATGGGGAAAATGGGACGGTTAGGTCGCGCCTGGTTTCAGCTCCCTTTATCGCACAATCCTGCGCGCTATGAAGTAGTAGTATTAGAAGTAGTAGAAGTAATAGAAGCAGAAGAAGTAGGCCTAGTAGAAGTAGCAGAAATAGAAGTAGAAGTAGAAGTAGTAGGAGAAGTAGTAGTAGTAGTAGTAGTAGTAGTAGAAGTAGTATAGGAGTAGCATCAACAGCAGCAGCAGCAGCAGCAGCAGCAGTAGTAGTAGTAGTGGTAGTAGTAGTAGTAGTAGTAGTAGGAGGAGTAGTAATTAGTAGTAGTAGTTGTAGAAGTAGTTGAAGTAGTAGTAGGAGTATCATTATTATCAGTCATATCATTATTATCAGTCATATTATTATAATCAGTCATATCATTATTATTTCGTTCCTGTTTTCACGAAGTGACGGTAGTGAGGACAATCCGCATTCAAATTGTATGCGATTTTCTTTGACTACCGTCACTTCGTGAAAATAGGGACGATTTATTCATTATTATCATTATTAGTTATTCATTATTATAATCATCATTATTATCATCATTTTCATCATCATCATATTCATCATAATTCATCATCATTTGGCGTTCACAATTAAAAACAGAAAATCAAGTATTTTTTTGTTCTCGAAAGAATCTCGCATCTTTTTTTATCAAAAATAGAAGAAAAATAAACTTCTTTATACTAATAGCTTTGCAGCTACACACAAGGTTGATCATTATATTTTGCATCCGAGCGAAGTAATTCCTCTTTTCTTCCAAAAACATGGTATCACAATAGGAACGTTAGCTTTTCCATTAACTTTTCTGCGACGAGGTCACTAATTACAACAGTGATTATAACGAGATTCTCCTTTGCTGTATTCCGAATTCTTTTAGATTCTTCAAGCCTTGGAAAACAGATTGGATTGCGACTGCTCTAATGGTAATGAGTTTTCAGTTTTAACTACGTTTGGATGTGAAATACAATAAGACTGTAACAGTCATCATAAACTAGGTTCTTTTGGAGAATGTAGCTTTCAATAAAAACGGGTCGCAAGATTTGCAATGATAGGTTTGTCATCCCCACCAGTTGATCTGTGTAAGGACTAGGGATTCATTCATCAAGATCACAGTATCGTACTATTCCTTGTATGTGACATTTTGTACATTAAAAAAAGCGAGCCATATACATTTTTTTTAGCTCGGTTTAAGAATTCACTGAAGCGTCAGAGCATCAAGTGATCATGGCGTTTATGTCGCAGTCGCTTTCAACGCCGTATCCGTCGACGGTTTCGTTGCGGGATGAAGAAACGAAGAACGTCCTCTTGGACGCTATCAACTCAACAGCCGAAACGGCTTTTTCACAAGAAACACCTGACCTAACGTTATTCTTCATTCTAATATTCGTCGTACTTCTTCCGTTGTCGTTATTCGTGATCATCGGGAACACCTTGGTGATCGTCGCTGTCTACACAAGTTTTCAGCTCCGAGAGCGAGTCTTCTACTACGTCGTAGGTAGCATGGCAGCTACGGATATGCTTGTGGGGTTTTCTATGACACCCGTCTATTACACGGCTATTTTTGTTGATTCTCTGAAGGAAAGCCTCTATTACTGTTTGTCCATGATTACTATCCTGTTGGTACCTTCAATGACGTCAATACTACATGTTCTTGTCATCGCCACGGACCAGTACATCGCCGTTTTCTATTCTTTACAGTATCCCCAGATCGTAACTCAACGGAGGATATTTGCCGTTATTGCCGTAATATGGGTGTTCGTTCTTTCATTCAATACCCTCCCTTACATTGGATGGAGGAGAAAACATCCTAATATTCCTTTACCTTACTGCTTTACCGACCAGGTCTGGACACCATCATTGCTTTGTTTTCAGTTTGGTCTGTGCGTCATAGCCCCTCTATGCATCATGATTGGTATCTACACGCGCATCATAAGTGCTGCGCGTCTTCAAGCAAGTCGAGTCGACGCGATGCCGCAAGAATTCATCGCAAGTGGTGGCGATGCCAACGCGGCTGGACAATTATCCGTCGGTTCGATGCACGATGGCATCAACCGACCTCAGGAACTACAAGCGCCTGTTGCCAGGATTCGTCGCGGGCCAACCATAGCCGAGTTGAAGGCCACTAAAACATCTGCCATAGTGCTGGGTACGTTCCTTGTCTTTTGGCTACCTGCGTACAGCGTGCACATAACATTTACATTCATCAACAGTAGTCGGACTGAACCGCTTCATAGCCCCACAATCGCCATTCTGCAAGCTGCGTCCAATATGCTACCATTCATAAGTTCAGCTGCTAACCCAGTCATTTATGCCTTTCGCTATCAGGAATTTCGCAGATCTTTCAAAAAATCCCTCAAGATTTCATTTTGACAACGAGAATAATCTGGACTACGAAAATCACTTATTTTTTCCTTCTTCAAATTTAACTTTCTTTTAACTCGCGCATTATAAGTGCTGCGCGTCTTCAAGCTGTTTTCACTCGTTTGAAAACTCAAGAGACCACTGCTGTTCCTCAAAGGATGTTGAAGTATACACAGAAATATTATTGTCAATATGTGCTGAAACAACAAACCTCCATTTTATTTGTCGAACGATATAATTCAGTATGTTGGGAAAAACTCAGGTGCAACAGGATAAATACGGTTCAGTCATTAAACATACCCAATCGCAGTCCCGTGCTCACCGCTGTTACGTTTGGTTCTATTCACCCTTTGTATAAAATAGCTTCGTACAGGGAAGATTCATTTGGCTTGATGAAGCTTTTTCATAAGAAAAGGAGACAACGATTGCCAACATGGTATTATCAAAGATATCCATCGAGAGGATACTATCTAACTGCATGATATTATCCAACAACATTATACTACCCAATGACTGGGTACTACATCCGATGACTGGGTTCTATCCATCGAAATGGGACTATCCAACGACAAAGTACTATCTAACGACTGGGTACTATCTGCAGGCTACTATCCAACGACTGTACTATATCCAACCGCAATGTACTACTGCAACGACAGGATACTACCAAACGTCAGGGAACTATCCAACGACAGAATGCTATTTAGCGACAGGGCACTATCCAATGACTGGGTTATATCCATTGAAAGGGGACTATCCAACGACATAGTACTATCTAACGAATAGGTACTATCTAACGACAGGCTACTATCCAACGACTGGGTACTATATCCAACCACAATGTACTACTGCAACGACAGGATACTACCAAACGACAGGGAACTATCCAACGACAGAATGCTATTTAGCGAATGGGTACTATCCAACGACAGGCTACTATCCTACGACTGGGTACTAAATGTATATCCAACCGCAGTGTACTATCCAACGGCAGGATACTACCAAACGACAGGGAATTATCCAACTGCAGGGTACTATTCAACGACAGATTACTATCCAACGATAGGATACTATCCAACGATAGGATACTATCCAATGACTAGGTTATATTAATCGAAAGGGGACTATCCAACGACATAGTACTATCTAACGACTGGGTACTATCCAACGACAGGCTACTGTCCTACGACTGGGTACTACGTGTTTATCCAACCGCAGCGTACTATCCATCGACAGGATACTACTAAACGACGGGGAACTATCTAACGACAGGGTACTATTCAACGACAGATTACTATTCAACGACAGGGTACTATCCAATGACTGGGTTATACTAACCGAAAGGGGACTATCCAACGACATGGTACTATCTAACGACTGGGTACTACCCAACGACAGGCTACTATCCAACGTCTCGGTACTACGAAATCCAACTGCAGCGTACTATCCAATGATTTAATATATATTATATTCCACATACTAAGAATCTTGTACTACGATTGGTCATAAGTAAATCTTTTACTAAAGATAGAGGTACTATCTACAAAGGGCAACGCACTTTCACTGAAGATTATCCAAAAGCGCACTAAAATAGGCGTAATTAAGCGCGCATTACCAATGAGCGCAATTAAAGCAAACACATGCGCGCACCGTAACCTCAAGGGGTTGGGTTAATCTTTTAACCTTTTTGGTGTGAATTTGGGCCTGGTGTCTTTCATGTAGATGCCTACACGTCCTTTTCTTGTTGTAGTTATATTGTTTTTAGATGTGGAATATAAAGCAAATAAGTCACCTTTTGGTTTCAGGCGATGGCAAACTATCACTTCCTCGTCGATCAGAATGTATACGCTATCTTTCCTCAGCTTCGCTTCGGAAAGATAGCTACATCCTGATCGCCTCGGAAGTGATAGTTTGTCCCATCACCTTCACCAACGGTAGTTATTTGCTTACTATCCAGCGATAGGCGACTATTCGACGACAGGGTACTATCTAACGACATAATACTATCCAACGGTTTATTACTGTCCAGCGACAGGGCAATATCGAACGACAAGGTACTTTCCAAAGACAGAATACTATCCAATAATTAAATTATATCCAGCCATAATATGTAACCATTCAACGACATGGTACAATCCGACGACCGAAGACTATTATGGAGGCGCGATGGCTCAGTCGGTAGAGCATTGGTCTCGTTATCCGGTGACCTGGGTTCGAAAGCAAGTCGATGCGCTAGTACCCTTTGGTAAGGCATTAATCCTCATTACCCTATTACCAGGTCCCTCAGAGAGGACCTTAAGCCGTCGGTCTTCTGGTTGCCTTACTAACAAGCATTTATTGCTTTCTTAGCTGTCAGGTAAAATAACCATCACTATCCTACTACTTAATACTTTCCAACGACAAAATATTATCCAACTATGAATGATAATTACTTTCGATTACACTTTATAAATGTAGATTTTTTTAATGAATCATATCATTTTATACTTCTAATTGTTCATCTAATTCGAATATTTTGAAATCATAGCTTATATTTGACACATTCAAGTGAAACAGAGGGTAACAATGTTCTCACAATGCACGAAATTCAATTAAACGTGTATTGATTTTGACGTGTGTAAATGTTTGAGCGTATTTTCTACTGCTTGACATGGTGGCATTTTTAAACCAAACTATTTATAGATCTACAGTTGATTCTATTTGTCAAGTATATACTCAATAAGATAATGTGTTCCCAGGGTGGACAATCAAAGATTCTATACGATTGGCAATTTTACGCGAATAGATTTTCTAAAATTATATTTGCTTGAATTGTCGTGAGTAATAATATTGTACTATAAAGTGTTCCACCGGCGATTCTGAATTGTTGCGGCACGAAGAGAAAGATGTTTCCTCATAATTGATAGTTCTACACTCGTCGCAGAAGGGCATTAGCACATTGTGAAATGATAATTATATCTTGACAATTAGGCACGTCTGGCGTGAATACTGTGATGTATCAGTAGTTTTCTTATTGAATTTATACAAATAAATAATTTGATGTATTCGTGGATGGTTATAGAATTCGCGCTAATGTGAATTGGCCTTTCAAGTTGCAATTTGCAATGGGCCTAGCACAAAATATACCATAACTGTGCACCGTTTCAGAGGAAAGGTGTTAACTTATTTCACAGAATCCCCCCCCCCCCCCTCCAGCAGGCGGTCGTTTGTTTTCGCTTACGTATTAACTTGAAATATTCATATAGGAATCCGGACTTCTCGTATGCATCGGTTACGTCAGTCAATGGGACAATCGTCCAATCACAAACCAGTTGCGATACTCATAAAAAAAAAATCGTTCTTTTTCTTCGATTGTGTCAAGCATTAAAAAAAAAACTCGAGAAATAAAAATGAACCCATTGTGGATACACCGGAAGGTTATTTGACCGAAGAAGAGTATTTTAACGTATTCCCTAATGAGGATCTCGAATCTTTCTACCAGCTAAAATATAGGACTATCCTTCACATTCACCTATCTAACGTATGAATTACAACCGTATCCGCTTTCTTCTGCAAAATCGTTATTTCAGTCTCATAATGTCACCCGGCTGTTTTGGGAATATATTGATTTTGCTGCATATCTTCCCCTTGTGGAAGCGACAGATAAAAGAGACAGATAGAAAGCATGTATGCGAATGTCTTCACTCCGTCAGTATTCTTCGAGCTCGGGAAACAATTGTTTGACAAGATTGTATAAAGAGAAGAAAATTATACCACGCTGTACTAGAAATATACTGGATAGCTGCTCAAATCAGACATAAGCCACCAACTTTTGCATCGCCTATAGATATGAAACTGAAACTTGAAAGGTTTAGATTATTGTCAGCATTTGTGCTTGCTTTTATGAATACTTCCTTATTGTGTTGCCATCTTAGCTCTTGAAAGCAAACAAACAGTTCGACATTGTAATTAAAATAATGTATTTCAATGGTTCAATCAAGCACAATTAATCAAGGCTATATTTCACTGATATCATACTAACTTTGTTAGGAGAAAAGAAAGGAAATTGATTAAATTATCGAGCGTCTGGATTCAATGCAGTAAACAGCATCCGATGTTATTATGCAGTTTACATCGCAGGCGTCATCAACGCCTCCGTTGTCGGTTTGGATGCTGAATGAAAGCCTCGAGCTTAGCACTGAAATACTGTTTACATCCGTGTCTCTTATCAACTCATCGATCGAATCGTCCGTTTCGCAAGAAAACCCCGATCTCACGATTTATGTTGTTTTGATATTTGTCGTACTACTGCCGCTGTCGATATGCGTTCTCGTCGGGAATATTCTAGTGATCATCGCTGTGTACAATAGCTTCTACCTTCGGGAGCGAGTTTTCTATTACGTCGTAGGAAGCATGGCAGTCACCGATTTACTTGTCGGCTTTTCCATCATACCCTTATATTACGCAGCTATCTTTGTTCAAACAGTGAAGGAGAGTCTTTACGGCTGCATGACTATGATAAGCATCGTGATGATACCAAGCACCATATCAATACTCCATGTTCTCATCATCGCTGCCGATCGGTACATCGCCGTTTTCTATTCCTTGGAGTATATACGCCTGGTCACAAAACGGAGAATTTTCATCACCATAGCTGTAATATGGGCATTTGCACTTGTACTCCACTCTTTGCCGTTTGTGGGGTGGAGGAAGACAAATTCCGATCCAAACTTCGTCATGCAGTATTGCTTCACGGACCAGTTCTGGACACCATCATTTGCATGTTTTCAGTTTGGTCTCACAGTCGTAGCCCCTCTCTGCATCATGATTGGTATCTACGCACGGATAATTGGAGCTGCGCGTCATCAAGCGCGTCGAGTCGACGCGCAACAGGAATTCGCCTTCAATAGAAGCGAGGCGAATGGGCAGTTATCCATTATTTCTGCCGATGTCGAGAGCAACAGCCATTCTTGTGAATCGCAAGCCCCTGCCGTCAGGATCCGTCGCGGCCCAACAACGGCCGAGTTGAAGGCCACAAAGACATCAGCCATAGTGCTAGGTACGTTCCTTGTATGTTGGTTGCCCGCATACTGCATCCATATATCGTTCACATTCATCAACAGTAACCGGCCAGAACCGCTCCATAACCCAACGATTGGTCTCCTGCAAGCTATGTCCAATCTCCTTCCCTTCATTAGTTCTGTAGCTAACCCTGTCATTTATGCCTTTCGCTACAAGGACTTCCGCAAATCGTTCAAACAATCGCTTCAATTTTCTTTTTGGCGACGGGGAAATTAATCTTTCTTGTCTAAAACACAATTGCTTTAAATTTTCGAACTTAAAGGACATTAACCAAAGAATAATAAATATTTAGCCGAGGAATTGGGAGTGAGACTCTTATCTCCCCGATTGAAAGTAGATTAAACGTCCATTTTTCCTCTGAGCAGACGCTGTATGAAACTGGCAATTTGTACGAAACGATGATTATATTCAAAATGAATTAGCAGACTGAGCCAGACTGATATTTCAGTAGTAACACCGACATGACTGACCGACATAGGCTAATACTTCAGTCACACTGCCAACCCAACTCTTAACCAACCGATTCTTAGCCACTTGGGGGTAATATAATGATTTGTTCGGTCTGTTTTCGGTTGGGGTCCAGTCTCATTGTGGTGTAGTTATTGTTTGTAATTATTGCTGTATCAAAATATGATATATTTATTTACTTCACCAGTAAGTATTAAGGAAGTGTGTGACAATGAGACGTTCAACTATTGCCATATCTTTTGAATATACCCCATTAAAACCGATGAGGCCGATAACAGACCAAAACAAACAGAACAAAACATGATATTGTCTGGAATGGCAAAAAATTAGTCGTTTTGAGTATGGTTCGGAATCGGTATGACTGAGGTATCATTCATACGATCTTCAAGAAAATCTAAGTCTGCATGGTTGGGAAATGTTCTCGCAAAAGGAAATCTGTGTAGGGCAGGAGTATCAATCAATCTGTCTGCGTATAAAGACCCGCAATCTTTGTAAACTTATGGCCAGAAATCTATCCGTTTCGAAAGCAAACAGATTGAAAGACCGGAGGTAAAATTCCATTTCATTGCTGAGAACGACAACGCTTAAACTATTTTTTTGCTTGAAGTTTGAAATCAAATGCGATTGTTCATCACTGTATGATACACGTTTGCACAGTTACACCAATTTCACGGTTCTTCTGAAAACGTTTGACAACATATTTCAAGAAAATACATTTTCAGTTGAAAAATAGCAGTGAATAGAGATATAGCATGATCGATTGCAGATATTAATAAGATCGCTAAAGATAAACTTGAATTCTGGTAAAAAGAAAAGAAAATGAATGCTCACAAAATCAAACGAAATTTACACTGAATGTTCAAGATTACAAATAAATGTCATTTGCCAAACAATTTTGGTAGAAAATGTATACTGGCTGAGGAATGAGCTAGAAAGATAAGGAAGTCAATGTTAGTTGGCCCGACACCATTTGTATTGTCCTATATATATCTTTCTGTGTACAGTGCTTGTTACTTTACATGCTACATGATCAAATTTTTCTGATCCATTCCACACCTTTTCTTCCACAATGCAATCGCATGACCAGAACTCAACTTTATCTTTAAGCTAACGGGTACATTTTCAGTTGATTATCTTATTTCTTTAAACAGTAGGCTATACTCATGGGGGAGTAGTGGCAACAACAGAAAGAAGTAGAAGAATAAAAATGAAAGACTGACCCCTTCATAAAGATTATATTTGTGTAATCATGTATCATTTTGTATCGCTCGTTAAATTTTGCGATATTTTCTCGTATTCCGTCTAATACCAATCTCTTCACACAAAATGGCAAGCATAATACACTTTAGTGAACAGTGGCGTGACTATGTGGAGGGGCGCTTGGATGCACGTACCCCCAATCAAATTGTGAAACAAAACAAAAAATTGGAAAGGGAAGGGGCGCAATGTGAAAAAAAGATGGCGGCACGTACCCCTAAAAATAAAAAATAAAAATGGGGAAATAGAAAAGGGAGGGGGAAACAACGTGAAAAGAATGTGATATGACGCCTTTCCACACTTTCTTCTTCTTTGAAAGCTTTGTTCTCGTGCAATCTACCCACCTATATAACTTTGGTGCCCTCTTCCATGATACAAATGTTTCCTAAAAGGATAAACCCACGCTACGCAACTCTCTTTTAAAAATAATCAATAATATGTTATGATGGTAAAATAAAATCTTATAAGAGTTATGTGGGAGGCAACATAGCATGAAATGAGCGTTTCTATTCTGAATGTTTTACATAATTAACAATGTCTATATCTAAAAAAAAATCTAAAAAAAGTCATGCTCTTTGTTGTTGTTTACTTGTTTGTTCATATCAATGGTAGCTATTATCTTGTAGCTGGTGTGAATGAGTAATTAAATTAAATTTTGTGAATTTTTGATTCGTGAAATTTTGAGTCCCGTCTCCTGTGTTAAAGGATTTGAGCTTTTACTTATCGAGTTTTCCTCTGCAAGGCTCACATCACGTGTTTGATTTGATATTAAATTTTGTCCGTTGGGTAATTACATTTTACATCTTAGACCTGTAGACGTTTTGTAGTGAAACCAGGAAATAAGAACGCAGGAACAAGTGTATACGGTTCAAAGTCCTTCTGCTTTATTAAAGTTGAGGCAAAATATCAAACAAAAATAGAACAGCCGGTTTAAATGACTATTTGCAATCTTCCCACTCCCTTCGGATACATCTCATCTCTACATGCCCTAGTCTATATGCCTCGTGCCCTTTTATCCGTTCTTCTGGTGTGTCGAGCCAGACACATAAGTGCACGAGTACAAAACATTTGCATCACATATTTATAATAGGCAAAGAAATCTATACCACCTGACTGCATGCCTGGTTGCTATATGGTGAAAGGGGGATTCTATAATGGGAGTATACTGACAAAAAGCATGCCACAGAATTAGCATTTTTATAAAAAGCTAATGTATATTGCCAGACACAAAAGTGCATGAGTACAAAACATTTGCATCACATATTTATAATAGGCAAAGAAATCTATACCACCTGACTGCATGCCTGGTTGCTATATGGTGAAAGGGGGATTCTATAATGGGAGTATACTGACAAAAAGCATGCCACAGAATTAGCATTTTTATAAAAAGCTAATGTATATTGCCAGACACAAAAGTGCATGAGTACAAAACATTTGCATCACATATTTATAATAGGCAAAGAAATCTATACCACCTGACTGCATGCCTGGTTGCTATATGGTGAAAGGGGGATTCTATAATGGGAGTATACTGACAAAAAGCATGCCACAGAATTAGCATTTTTATAAAAAGCTAATGTATATTGCCAGACACAAAAGTGCATGAGTACAAAACATTTGCATCACATATTTATAATAGGCAAAGAAATCTATACCACCTGACTGCATGCCTGGTTGCTATATGGTGAAAGGGGGATTCTATAATGGGAGTATACTGACAAAAAGCATGCCACAGAATTAGCATTTTTATAAAAAGCTAATGTATATTGCCCAAGACTCTCCAAGGATAACACTCGTTTGAGCGCAATTTCCTCCTGTATTGTGTACATCTATTCTTAGCTTGTCGCGATAATTTTTCTGTATACATGTATAGTGTTCAATGATGACGACAGTACTCGATCATTTTTTTTTCTTCAAAATTTTCCCATTCCACAGGGATCTTTTTATACTAAAACAAATTCGTCAAATGGAATCATATACATCGACAAGAAGGCTCATGGAAAACAAGGTGTAAACAATGATCAAAATGGCCTCCCCCCAAAAAATTGGTAGGTGGAGAAAAATACAAATGATAAAACGAATACTTCAATGAACACTAATATGGTGAATACGTTAAACTTGTCATGTTATCGCCACTCTCAACACAATTAGATAATAATAATGTTTGATGTCAAGTAATTGATGACTGTGATGGTGTTGATCTCGACCACATTGGCTTTCTATAATAAGAAATTTGGGAAGGAATTTCATTATTATAGAATGATCCAGTACGTGTCACTCGAATGAGGCAACTACCATGGTAACAGGGCTCAACAGCAAATACAAATCAAGGTTTCCTTGGTAGCATTGGCGTATCGAGGGGTGTTTTAGGTGTTCAAACACCCCCATTTGCATTAAGCATTTTAAAGATACCTTTTAAGTATGCCCCCCCCCCCTTTACCAAAAAAGTGCTCCTTACCCCCCCCCCCCCCCCCCCCCCCCGCCTGGTCACCGGCTGGCTGATTCGCCGCTGAATATTTTCTTACGAATTGGGCAAAAAAACACCTCCCCTTAAAAAAAATCCTGGATACACCCTTGCATGGTAGTTACTATTTATGGCAAAGTGACCATCAATGGTAAGTTTTGTGCAACGGGGCCCTTGTGCATATGTCTTTTTGGAACAAAAAAAATAGACAGTTTGAGAAATATGCCAAGTTATTTAAGTTACGACAAGTTACACAAGCTAACAACTGTTACAGAATTAGGCCTTTCATACCATTTCAATAATTATGTATATGTGCATTTTTTTTAATATTTAGTTTATTTCAATGAAGAAGTTTAATTTCCGCAGCGATAAATGCCTTAATTTTGCTCCATCGCTTTGCTCGCTCAAAATTTTAAAATTGGAAAATCTTTGAGAGACATCAGCCCCCTAGGAATAATTGGCCTCGAAATGTCATTTGAATTTACCAAATAACATAAACAGAATCTAGATAATATGAACAATTATTGGGGTGGGATGCAGCCCCCGCGTCATAATCCTGAATATCGTTGATGTATATTGAATTTGTTGTGGTAAATGACTTCATGTGTTTAAAGGTGGGTTGACTACCCCCCCCCCCTCCCCGAAAAATGAAATAAAAAATAAAAAGTTAGCAAAGCCACAGATATAGAAAGTATTTTTTCTTTTTTTCAGGGGAAGAAAATCGTTATTTTGAAGAAATATAAATAATACACTGGCCTTATACGAGAATAATGAATCAATTAAACCACAATGAATAACTTCCATTTCATTTTATCGATTAACACCACACTCATAGGCATACGAGGCGAAGCTTGATGACACTTTGCGTCGGAAATTGGGTACTTGCCACTTCATATTAGGACTGTGAGGTGGATTATTTGTAATATACATATCTTTTTTAAGTAAACTTTGATGAAGAAATTAATATTTTCCTCGTTTCTCTCGCATTAGTTGATACTCCTGAAAATTGATTGATATTCGTGCAAAATTAGGCGTAAGCACACTAGCGAAATCACCCCCATGCGCCTGTGATTATAATGACCTTTTTAATCATCGAGGGTAAAATAAAAACTATAATGATCAAAAGCTTCCTGTTGTTCAAAGACACACCTTTCATCAAACACCTGTCATGCATGCTTCCATCCCCTATAGGGAGGGTCAGATGACGCCAAATCAACGCCTCCCTCCCTCGGTTAAAAACTTCTCCCATATTTTTTTTTAAAGATAATGTGCGCAAGCAAATCGTAGGATTTCGCACAACAACGCAGAGTTTCGGAACTACCCTCCCGTGCCAAAAGTATTGCAACATAGACACACACATTACACAGGAGACAAATAATTGAAAATGAGTGCTGTTTTAATGAATATGTAGTGCATCATTTTTTATCATACTATCAGGCAC